ATCTCTCTCTCTCTCTCTCTCTCTCTCTCTCTCTCTCTCTCTCTCTATCTTTCCCGGAACGCGAGAGTAATTTCGCGAGAATGCGACTGTTCTGCGCGCGCGAATTCGCTTCGATTTCCGCGTGGCGCACGATAAAGTGCAACAGGATGCATTAACGCGAGCGAATTCTGACGCCGTTGGCTCGCTGACGCCGCGCGATATTAGTTAGCTACGCTCAATCGCAATAACGTCCCACCCCCAATCCCCGCAGCGCTCCCGCAGCGCCCTGCGTTTCTATCAGGATCTACATCGATGAATGCCCAACGGACGTCGAACCATCGTAAATGCGGATACGTCGATAACGGATTGCCGCCATCGCTCTCCCTCCGTTATTCTCGCGGCCATCGAAGAAGCCCTGAATCACGAAAGCGCGTAAGCGTCCGGCGCATATCAAATGCACCTTCCGATCCGGCGTTGTAGCTTTGCAGCTCGACGGATGCATTACGGATGTGCACGCGCGCGTCCGCCCACCCGCCCTCCCTCTTGCCCGTCGAGATCAAAGAGCGAAATACCGAAACTCGACTCGGCGCGGAGCTAATGCACTCCGGCGCGCCAGAAAACCAGACGAAGAAAGGAAATAATGCAGATGCGGGAGTGGCGCGGGCACAAGTCTCCACCAAACCGTGAAAATTGAGTTTCCACGGCCGCGTCGGGGAGGAATTTTCCCGCGTCGCCCCGCGACGCGGCCTATCTCGCCGAATGCCCTGCGATGCAATAGCGGAGACAACGAAATTTCCTCTATTGTTTGCCAATTTCGTAAATTCGTAGTTTCTGCACGGGGATTTAAATGTCACGTCACGAAATTCTTTTCTCTGTTGCGCATTATTATAGATATATCTTCGACTTTTCATTCAATCGTAAAATTTATAATTCCGCTGCAGTTATTAACGTTGAATGTTATATGAATTATATAATTTACGACACTAAATCGCAACCTTTGTATGTTATAATTAAGGATATATTATCTTTTTTCTAATTTTCATATTTACAATAAAAAAAATTGAGAAAAAAATTAGTACATTATTCTAAATCGCACATTTAAAAATAATATAAAAGTTTAGCGATAGTTTGGAATTTAAATAAAAAATTATTTTAAATTATAAATAAATCAAAAATTATTATATTATTTCGAATATTTAAAATACTTATATAAAAAAATTGAGATTTTTGTCATTATTTCATAATCACATCTCTATTAAAGCACATTTCTACTTTATATTTAAATAATTTTTGGTCCAGATTTTAAATCGCCACTAAATTTTTTTATATTATTTTTTAAAACGCGATTTAGAATAGTCTCTAAATTTTTCTCAATTTTTTTCACTATAAATAAAAAATAGGTGTGTGTGTGTGTGTTAAAATAATATATATATATATATATATATATATATATATATATATATATATTTAATCACGTCTACGTCATTATATGTAGACATATTTATAAACCTATTTATACGCAAATCTAAAGTTCAGATATCGGATTGCATATGTTAAATGTTGTACTCACACATGTGATACAAAACCAGATTCTTCGTGCTTCCATTGTACTTCTGGAACGCTCGATTAGTAGGCGCAAACACGGTCACGTGGCGGTACGTAAGGGTAGTATTGGCCACTTGACTGGCTTCCAGGAGCTGGTAAAACTGTAACAGAAAATCACGATATGGTTTTATGGTCCGTCTGATCTAGTCATCTCTTTAATAATCGGAGCCATCAACAGCGCGTGGGGAAAAAGGAAGGAACGCGCTCATGGCATTATACCTTGTGTGCGCGCCCTCAATCGCGCGCCCCCTGACAAAATCAAACAATCGCTCGTCGCGTTCAAAAGGACCGGCTTGTAGGAGGTCGTTAAATTAATCATCGTCCCCGCATGATGAAGCAGGAACGAGCCCGGAACGGGCGATCGATTCCGCTCTTCTGACGTTCGGGGCTCTTACGCGAACCCTTCTTCTACGTAGCGGAAAAAAAACTCACGCCCAACGGGAACATGCCCCGAGCAATTCGCATCAACGGGGATTAAAGTCGTAGTTCACATCGAGTTGCAAGCTCGAGTTCGACGAGCACGCGCGCGCTAAAGCATTTAATCCGACGTGTCGGTTGAAATTTTCCGAGGACTTTCATCTCCCGCGGCGGGGCCGCGGCACAAAGGAACCTCGTTAGTTATCAATGCTTAATTAGCCGGATGTAAAGTCCGATCTACCGGGGGCGGGTATTACGGAGTCACTCTTTCTGTTCCCGCAGTGACTCCTCCTCTTTCCGTCGAGTGACGCGTCGTCTGGGAATTAGAGGGAAAAAAACGTGTCGTGAAAAAAAAACTCGTCCTCAAAAGCCACCAAACTGTTTACAATGTTGGATTGCAACGTTTGCATGATGCTTTCGGAATCTCTTTTTCAAACTTCATTGCGTCCTCAAACGCGAGTCCTCGAAAAAATTTTAATTATACAAAATTCTTATCTATTTATACATTTTTCAATTTCTGCAAATAATAGGCAAGACTTTAGCTGATAAAAAAAAAATTAATCATTATTTTTACATCACCATGAAAATCAGAATAAATCGACAAATCTTAAAGTCGTCATCTCCCTTTTTCCTTATATTGACTATTGCACCGCGATGCAAGATATCCGTAGCGAGAACAAAACGTTTTAATGAGATTTCGCACAACTCTCGCGACATTTCTCGCATTTATCGCGTGACATTTATCCGAATGCACGCGACTCGCTCTGCGGAACGCGGACTTCGTTCGCGTTAGATGCAGAAAGTATGCCGGGTGGTATGATAAAATTCGCGGCACCGCCGCGGTCTGCTTTGTCGATTTTATGACGCGTGTGGCATTCGAACAAGTTTTACCGCACAAAAGCGCCGTCGAGGCTTCCGATTCTCGTAAAACTCGGCACGAGTATCGTAAAAACGCGATTATTTCGTCCCATTGCTCGAAACTCCCGAGCACCGCCGGGAGAACTATGTCGGCACACTCGGTTATAATAAACTGCTAAAGTTTCGTACGCAGAAGGCGTACCCCGTCGGTGATTTTTCCGCCGCGATACGCGTACGCCTCCGCTCTAATTCGCTCAATCTTCCGGGTCTTTCGACTTTGCCGGAGTTAATAGAGTAATTCCGCATTTCATATTTTCCTGTTTCCGCGATTCACATTCATGTATTTCTGTATTATTTCGTATTATTAAGTGCGCCCGATTCTGTTCGCGTCGAACTCGAGAACAGAAATACGCGCCCGATTTATGTCTTATTTAATCTGCCAATCTCGCCCGTAATTCAAGCAAGAATGCTTCGCTAAACGCCAAATTATGTTTCGGTCGTGAACCGCTTGATAGATTTACGAATTATCGGAGCCGTAACTTTCCGTAAGGCCTGTGTACGGCATTGTCGGAGGCGGGAAACTTTGCTACCACGGTCATATATGCTAATTAGTACATGGTGGGATAATTGGTAGGGAGATTCGGAGAGCAAGGTCTATTAGTTGCATCGGTCGGTCGGCGGTGCCGGCAGGAAATTTCTGATTAATTAGTGGAAGCTGTACGCGCGAGGGTGCGGTCCATTTAGCTTCTATATTCTATGATAATCGACGTCGCGTCTCGCGCGCGCGATGCAGGAATTAAGATATCAAAATCGAAAGTAACGCGACGCGACGCGCGCTCGGAATTTATTGCGAGGAGTTTATTTATGGATCTGATGAACGGATAAAATTAGGGAAGACAATAAACAGCTTTTATTATTCCATGGACGACCAGTTGGATGGGGATCAGTTCAATTCTCGTTAAGAATAATGCGGTAACGCGGACCCAATTTGTGAAAAATAATGGTGAAACATGGTTGCGACCTCCTTTATCTCTTTCGCCCCTTATCCTCGCAGCGCTCTCTTATCCCCTTTGCCTCCCTTTAACGAAGCTCTTGAGTAATGGAGACATGTCGTGACTCCCGGCAATTAATGCGAGTTGGTTCGTCGAGGCGAGCCCGGTAGAGCGACAGGATTGGTCGGAGGCAGCAGACAAAAGAAGAAAGGAACAGGGCGAAAACAACCCTGCGGATGGAAAAAGGTTTCCAGCACTCCAGTAATCGAGACGTCGTGTTTCGTTTGGTAGAGAAAAGTTTCATCGAATCAAATATTGATACCGTTCAAACATTTTAGCGATTCTAAAACTCGAGTCGCGTTTGGATTTTTTTTAGCAAAATTGTAAATTTTGGATCCCCGAAACCTATCGCACACGAAAAATTAAAAATTTATATCCTAATTTTTTCGTTTGAGTTCGTTGATTCCTGAAATCAAGTGGAAAAAAATCTTTGGACTGCGATGGCCAAAATAAACTGTTTGCATATATGGATTCGCGCTCGAGCGTATCTATCAGTTTTGCTAACGAGACGGTCGACTCGCAAAAGCGTCGTTTAATGAGAGGCGCATCAGGCGCACGGTAGGATTATGTATTATTAATGCGGGCAAATATTCGCATCTGTAAACGTTTGCTCCGTTTTCGCATTTTCTGCCCGGCGAATAAAAACAATCGCGTCGCGTCGCATCACGTCGATGGGTTAAACGGGGGATAAACGGATTCCACGAAGCGCAGCCGTGCCGGGTCAGGAACTTAGAACATCGCGACAAGTCGGCCGTGGAAATTAAATTAAATCGTATGGCAAGATATATATTTTCTATTTTCTCTCACTCCCTCCCCCTCTCTCCGTCTCTCCCGCCCATTTTATCGCGTTACGTGCTTTCGAAAATATCGCGCGCGATCAGAAGATAAATTTGCAACGAGGTTTGCCGTCCTGTAGCAAACGTGATATTGTTTTCGTGCTGCATTTTCCGAGATTTTTCATTTATTTTCAGATTTTCAATGGAGGATCCGAGAATAGATGCCGACGGATCGATCTGCTTTCCGAAATTGGAGACAATCTGCAAAAATTTACCTTTTGGCGAAAAATTTATACGGCTTGTGATAAAATTACGCGTACAATAAATAAGCGAGACATGAATCTTAATGTTATGTTCCACGTCTTAATTCATGTCTGCGTTTCATAATTTCGAGGCATTTTATCTCACGGCATACATCGGCGCGGCGTTATGCTACCGGTTATATTCGTTTAGGTCGTGCTGGCTAGTTTTGTTACGGAAAAATATTTAAGTGAGTGCTGCATGCATCGTGCTTGTATTGTTATTGCGCCGCGCTTATCATCGCACACGTCATATAACGACATATAACATAGCGAGAAGAATAATAATTACTTTAGCTCTTATCTGATATCCCGGTGTACAATGTGTAATAAAAAAATATTACTCGGCAATCCGATAATCAATCGGATACGGCCTGCTGAAATTGACGATTCCATTATTCGCCCGATTCTCCGACTCCGTAATATATTTTTACGAGTCCCTCTCTCGCAAATCTGGCATTCATTTTTCACGCTTCGTCATCTTTTACGATCACCCCTCACTTTCATTTTGGGGATATCATTTTGGAAGCGTGCCCCTCGTGATTCGGTACGTGATCGCGTATCGTATCATGTCTTCGTCGCGAACGAAATGGAACACGACTCGCCCACTCCGGTAATCATACTTAATTACAATCAACGTGGAAAAAAAGGAAACGGGGAAGGGGAGGGGAAGAGAGGCAGAAACGCGAGCGGCTTCGCGTTTTTATGAGCGAGCTTTAACAGAAGACGAACGAGGGATCGGGTTGCGCTCGCCGTAAGATAGGAGGAGCGAAATTTAATTAACGTGAGCATACGTCGAAAGTTTCTCCCGCGCGGAAATAGCGACTAAAATTCTTTACGTTGCGGTAATAAGGCGTCATTCGATTCGAGCGCGTGCTCGTATTTCCCGTCTCGCTCGTCCGAACGACGAGAATCCCGTAGATATTACTGTAAGAGATATTACGAAGCTACAAAAACGTACAAATCGTCGGATAAAAGTATTACCATAAGTCGTTAATCAAATGTGCTTGGGGATGCTCGTGCATCGCCTTTAAGTCCATTACATTAGATATATCAGACATATAAGACATATATCGGACATTGGGGGGATGTCCTTAAACTTTTCGCATCTCGGATCGCGTGGGTTGTTTATCGCCGCTTCTCTCCCTTTTATTGTCTGCTACGTGCTCACAGCGCGCCCTCGACGAAAACGTACATTTATGCGAATGACTGAACTTTCATTCGGCGCCGGGGCGAGATGTGCCTTGGCCGTTTATGAGTCAACGATATCGTCACTCGAGCGAGAGCATCACGAATTACACTCACGCGTCGAAGAGCCGCGATTAATCTGCATATTATTATGTCAGCTCGTCCGTACGAGCGCGCTTTAGTGCCTTTTGTAAGTTCGCTGAATTATAACACTTAGAATATATCTTCACGAGTGGAAATCAGTACAAGCTCGCGAGAGATGCGAAACAAAAATAGAATTTGATTCATCTGGAAAATTTTGCGCGGACATCCTAGGGCACCGTTAAAATTTTATATTACAGATTTATAAAATATGCAGGGATTAATAATTCCAGCAAATTCAGGATGATTATTAATTATTCATGATAAACAAATTAATCGTATAATATTTAAAGATGAACTTTTCGAATTTTATTTGGTCCTCATCAGCGTCAATATAACAAAAAAAAGAAAAAAATTATTAACACATAAG